TCTGTGTGAAAGCAAAAGCACTTTAGTTGGCCTTCCGGAAGTAGATGCAATGAGGAATCATTGGTTAAGATCAGGGGTGTGAAGTAACGAATTACAAATACTCACGTTACAGTAATTAAGCAGTTTTTATCAGTAATTGTACTTTTTTGAGTAGTTTAAAAATTGTGTACTTTTACTTGAGTACATTTTAAGTGATGTATCGGTACTTTTACTCCGCTATTTTCCTCCGTTTGTGGTCGTTACATGCTTATTTTAATTTTATTTTTATCCATCAACGTGATTGGATAGAGAGTAATAGGTCTCGTGACTTTCGTCAAATCAAGTTGTGCATAGAAAACTTTAACCGCCAACTGTTTATCATGACTGCTGGAAGTGCATTCTTCAAGAATCAATTCAGTAGCATCTTCCTCTAACTTAATATGTTAAGGTAAATTTCGGATTTCTGCTTACTAAATGATTTGTATATATGCTTGCCTATCTACACGGCCTGAAATTTGGTGTGAGGTTGCGTGTATTGCTTACAGTGTTAACTCCCGCAAGTGCCACATTCGATAAATTCCCACTCTGCGCTGCCTCGTCTCTCTCTCGTGTGCGCTCTGCAGCAGGCACTTGGATAAGTCGTTGTTATTGCTTGTTGAACTTGTTGACTTTTGATGAGTTTGAGAGCGTGATGCGCGCTGTGAAAAAGTGTGTTGGAAACACAAATTGAGGACCAAATCTGCACCTTATTGATGATCCGTGGCGTTAATATACTGCATCTGTGCCAGCGTGTGATGTAATAAAACTGCAGCTCATTAATAAACAGTTTTTTAAATCCATTTTATACAATCCGCCTTCATTTAGCAAGTTCACTCGCGCATAAACAATTTTCAAGTTCAACACTTTTTGTTCCATTCAGTTGTGGATGCTGCTGATTCACCGAGACCGCCGTGGCTCAGCAAAGAGACATGCGTGTGTGTGTGTGTGTGTGTGTGTGTGTGTGTGTGTTTTCCTTTGAAAAAGTTTCTCCAGAAATACCTCGCTATTTAATGCATTTTTCCCTTACAAATTGTATTATCAGCATAACAATTCGAGTAAATGTGTAAAAGGTATGGCAAAATTGTAAAAATTGTTAAAATTGTAACAAATGATCAAGTTATTTTTATTTCTTCATTGCAAAACGCTAAAACTGGCACCGTTTTGGAGAGAAATTTGAACCCATATCATTGTGTGTGATGCTGAACTAAGAGTTTCTAATGGTGTTTGTATTTGCACTGTTCTAAACATTAATATTTTATGTGCAACAACAGCATGCTGTCTCAGTGGCCTTACACATGATTTTAAATCTATTTTTTCAAACTTTTATGATTTAAATGGGGATGATTGTACTGAGAATAACTTTCATATTTTCTTCAACTGAATACCTGTTTTCCGAGCTGTTTTGATGTATTTTAAAGAGTTGGCAGTCAAAATTAAAACTGCTGGATGATAGATATTCTTCATTCTTTATGACAAAGAAGATAATGTGAATTACAGAATGTACAATGTTTTTAAAATGTATCAATTGTGGTGTACAGCGTTTATTATGAGGGGGTAGAATCCACAGTTCAATACTCACTACTCAATACTTATGAGTACTTTTAAACAGGCTACTCTTTTACTCTTACTCAAGTAGTTTTTGGACAAGTACTTTTACTCTACTCACACTACATTTTTTGGAGGGTAATGGTACTTTTACTTGAGTATATTTTTTCAGTACTCTTTCCACCACTGGTTAAGATTTATTTACAACATACAGCACAACCCAGATGTTCGAATCTGTGCAACGCATTTTATGGACGACAGTTTTGTGAACCTAGGAGAGTAGCCTACCAGACTGGCTGTGCAAAGGCTATTTCTAAAAACAAATGGGTCAATTCCGACTTTGCAATGACAATCTGGCGCTTATTCTGAATCAGCTACTGTAAGTATGTTTTCTTAATAGTTTAAGTATTTGCTTTTTTTTTTTGTGCGGTGTAGAGTATCTGTAGTAGTGTGTGTGTGAGAGAGAGAGACAGGGTCACATCACAGTGGAGTCAGCTTTCTTAATCGCGGTTTATGTACTGCAAATACATACGAGCATCACCACGGTGTCTGTCACTGTTCCCCTTTCGGGCTTGAACTGATGGAAAAACTACCATCGGTAAAACTACCACGGTGTGGTCTCTGTTCCCCTTTCGGGCTTGAACTGATGGTAAAACTAAGGACATTATGTACTGTCTTTACATTTATGTTGAAAGCTGAAGCTCGCGATTATGGTAAGGGGTGTTACATTTCCGACGAGTGCGTGTGGTGTTTGGCCAATCAGAATGCACTGGGTCAGCTGGCCAATCAGAGCAGACTGCGCTTGTCGGAAGGAGGGGCTTTGTAGAAAACGACGCGTTTGAGAGAGGCGGTGCATAGAGGACCTACAATAATGTACAGTATTTGAAATATGTTTTTTGAACATTAAAGCATGTCAGCATATTCTGTTACACAAAATAATGATCTTTAAAATAGCATCATATGACCCCTTTAAAGAATATCTATAAATTGTTAATGTAATGAAAGTAAGGGGACTAGAGCGGTCAAGCTCCAAATTGAAAAAATTCACCATAAAATTATCGTAAAAGTGGTCCAAATGACTCTTGAACTTGACCTGCCCTGAACTTGAGTTCATGAGAGAAGTTGGGATGCTCAATTTGTGAATGAATCATACTTGTGAATCAAATCTTTTCAAATTCATCTGTTAAACAGTTCACAAAAACTAGTCTGAATGATTCTACTGATCAGAATGATCTTCGACTTCCCTATGATTCTATGGATTGAAGTGAAACTCCTGATAGGAAAGATATGATCTAAATTATTCTACTGATCTAAGTGATACTGATTTGAATGATTCTACTGATCAGAATTATTCTACACATTTGAGTGATTCTACTGATCTGAATGATTGGAATCATAATGATTCAAATTATCAAAATGGTACTAAATGGAATAATTCTACTGATCAGAATGATTCTAATGAACCAAATGATACTGATCAGAATAATTCTACTGATTGGTTAATAATGACTTACATTTCAATATAGTTCTCACATAAATTCAGATTGACTATTTTTATGGCGCTTTTTTTTTTAAAATCATTTTGAAGCTTGACTTTTCCAATCCTTGTTCAATTTCATTATGAAAAGAGTGATTTTATTTTAAAATAATAATAATAATTCTAATTGTGTTTTCCATTGAAGAAAGAAAGTCCTACATGTTTGGAACAGCATGAGGGTAAACAAAGGATGTTTTCATCAATCTTCAAAAAAAAAAAAAAGTCCTCTGCAAAATATCCTTGTGATCAGTTCCAAATGTAACGGGACCAAACGAGTAAACACCAGGACCCAAAAAATAAAAAATAAAAATAAAAAGATCCTTCCCACACAAGACTAAGTGCACATCAACTACATGTGCTTTCATTCTGAACAGCTGCATAGTCTTGGGTTTTCTCATTTATGTGCCAAAATAAGAATGGAAAAAATAAAAACACCTTGTGACTTACAAATCATTCATGCTGTAATGAGCACAGATGTTCCTCCTCACATGTTACAGGACACATTTACCATCTTGTTGCATTGAATGGATCGGATTCAGTCAGGTAGGAGCGCCAATATGGGGAGTGCAGAGTATGCCAGGCATATGGGCCCATCTGCATGCATGGGGGGGCCCCCCAAACTTTGGATTTTTTTTTTTTATTATTAAATGTTATCTTCTATATACAAACATATTAACCATTAATAGTGTAGTAAAGTAAAATTACAATCTGCAAATTATAGAAATGATTAGTGAAAGTGAACTTGCTCTACTGTAACAACACATGACGTTAATGTAACAAAGAAGAATGTGATATGTAGAAAGAGGCACTTCTTCGGTGGCCCAAAGCAAAAATGTAAAAAAATAAAATAAAAAAAACAAGTAGTGAAAACGATGAAAAATGATCTTACAAACTGGGTATCAAAATAAACATAATATTGGTTGTGATAATTCCAGTAATGGACAATTAACTAATTATAGTAATTTCTTTATGTAATGTAATTATTAAAAATGAAAATACAGTAGAATAAAGGAGGCCAACTGTTCATGGCACCCCTGACATCAGGGCAACTGACAAATCTGAAAGCTCTGATTGCTCTACTGTAACAACACATGACGTTAATGTAACAAAGAAGAATGTGATATGTAGAAAGAGGCACTTCTTCGGTGGCCCAAAGCAAAAATGTAAAAAAAAAAAACAAGTAGTGAAAACGATGAAAAATTATCTTACAAATTGGGTATCAAAATAAACATAATATTGGTTGTGATAATTCCAGTAATGGACAATTAACTAATTATAGTAATTTCTTTATTTTTAGTGCCTTATGTAATGTAATTATTAAAAATGAAAATACAGTAGAAAATACTCTGAAAGTCTTTCACAGGAAATCAGGGCAGTTCAGTGTCGTTATGTGGGTCAATACATCCATAAAGGAGACAGAGGAAAAGCATATTAATAACTCCTATGACTACATAACTACACTTGACACATGCTAGTTAATACAAAAGCATAAGTGCCTTTACATACATTTTATTTATCTTTATATTAATATTACAAAATATCTGACAAATACAGTAACAGGAAAAAATGAGAATGTATATCGTTTTTCATATTTTGTTAATTTTTTGTATTTTAGATCATTTTATTTGCTCATATATATATATATATACACACATACATACACATACACACCACATACTAGAAACTATTTGCAGTGCAGAAAACCCGTTTTCAGTTTCGTGACTTTATACCGACTTAAAATTAAAGTAGTTCCACTCAATGACAATTTAATTAGGTTCAATAATGTGTTGAGACACCCTACGGATTAACTCTTTAGGAACGAAACATTTTCGCTATTTATATACAATGAATAGCCTATTTTAAGAAGAACGCCATTATTTGTGATCAATATGGCACTTACGCTCTCTGCTGAGGAAATCCCATCGAAAGCAGCACGTCCAGACTGGATCCATGTTTGACAGACGCGCAACTGTTCTGTCTCAGTCTGCGCGGAATAATCTTTGAGTAAAGATCCTCCTTTGCTGCCATCCTTCAGTCCCATCAGATGCTACTGACGATAGTCGAAGACGACACATCCACATCTGCTTATTTAGCGATTTACACTACAAGCATAATCGTCCCTCCTCCTGACAGCGGCAGTGTATGTTTGTATACAGTAGATTAACGAGCTACAGATAATGGCTGTGTTTCACAAACCTATCGAGCTGCCTTCATACTAAACAACATTTTGGACATCATAGGTGGGTTTCAAGTAAGAACACGGCTGCACATTTGAGCAACGCGCCTGTATGCCCACAAATGCTAAGTAGGCAGTTCATGAGGTTTAGAGACACAGCCAAAGACATATGCGTGTCAAACACTGATAACTAGCAGTAGCAGTTTCACTTGTCATGCTTGACACTAACTCGCTTTAATTAGCCTAATTTACCTAAAAGTCTAAGAATGGTGACATTTACCTATTACTGTCACACATGACATGCAATAACAAGTGAACAAAATAACTGCATGCATTTACAATTGCTTAGTTATTTCAATGCAAATGTAAAGTGAGTCAAAGGATTTATTTGATTCATTCACATACGATAGAACTGTTGAAATTACTTGGTAGTGTTGACTATAATAATAATAATAATATATAGATTTAATTGAATAACACCTTCCATTCACAATCATGTCTACTGGAATAAACACTTTTGGCTCTGCACAAAAATGTCTTTACGACACAAGAACAGGATGGTTGTGAAAGACTACCACTGCAAGGTCAACTGTTTCTCATTTCTATCCAAAACCTACAACAATTGGAGCCCCACCCTCTGCTAAACAGTGACCTGTGATATATTCATCTGAAATAGGAAAACAGTGACGACTTCATTTAAACTCAAGCTCAAGACTTAAGTCAACCTTAAAAGGAATAGTTCTCCCAAAAATGAAAATCTGTCATCATTTACTTACCCTCAGGTCATTCCAAACCTCTCTATGATTTACTTTTCTTCTATGGAACACAAAAGAAAATAGTGTGGAGAATGTTAGTAATCAAACAAATTGGCTACTATTGATTTTTCATTGTATGGACAAAAACATAGTAACAATATCTTCTTTTATGTTCCACAGAACAAAGAAAATCATACATGTTTGGAATGACATGATGATGAGTAACTGATGACAGGATTGTCATTTTTGGCTGAACTATCACTTTAAGGAATGTTCCTCTTGTGGAGTCTTTATAACACAGCTTTTTGGCAAACAAACAATAAAACCTTTTCACTGATTGATCAGTTTTGGCCCTGCACTGATGGGTCATAAGGCACAATAAAACAAAACACACATCCTGCCTCTTGGAAAGCCCTCTTCATCTCCACCTAGTGGTAAAACATAATAAAGATTTATACACTAGGACACAAAAATATTATATGTATAATGTGCAATATTGCTAATAATAATAAATGTTTTTTAAGCACCACTTTGCATCACAGGAATAAATTACATTTTAAAATATATTAAAATAGAAAACACTTATTTTAAATTAGAACAATATATTTCACAAAGTTACTTATTCACAATATTATAATTTTTTTAATTATTAAATAAATGCATCCCAGTTGAGCCCAAAAAGACTTCTTTCAAAAACATACACAAATCTTACCAACCCCACACTTTTAAATGATCCAAGGTGTATATACAATGAAAAATGTTATTTATATTACCCAGAATCATATTTAGGTTCAAAAACAGTACCATAACCCCGCTCATCCATCAGCTGTTTGTTGAAGTCCATGTAAACCAAGCCTTCATAAACCTATTAGAAAGTTAATACAGAGACAATCATGTTCCACACAGTGCAAGTCAGATAAGCCAAATTAATATGAATATACATACCTGCACAACCCGATCCTGTAGACCAGCTGTGATGAACAGCTCATCAGTCTCTACGTTGAGGATAAAGTTGGCTCTGATTGGTTTAGGAAGATCCTGTCCCAGCATAAAATGTATGTAAGATAATAGTTTATTTCTATTTAAAAAAGAAGTTCTAAATTGATCCACTGATTGGCGAATGCTGAACATACGTTGTCTGTGATGTTGTAAAACTTCATCAGGCACTTCAAGGTGGCAGACACAATCGCACTACACAGAAAACACCCAAATGATAATGTTACAGTATTAAAATTTGATCCTAAAATTTGATGTTACAGTATTAAAATTTGAAAAGTGTTTTAAATCAAACACCCACTTCCAAGATCAAACACCAAGTATACTGAAACTTGAATAATATCATGCATTATGTTACACCAGGGGTGTCAAACTCAATTCCTGGAGGGCCGGAGCCCAACCCTAATTAAACACACCTGATCCGACTAATCAAGTCCTTCAGGCTTATTTGAAAACTACATGGTTTCTGTGTTGGAATAAAACTCTGCAGGGCTCCGGCCCTCCAGGGATTGAGTTTGACACCCCTGTGTTAGACCGTAAATCAAAAAGCCAATGAATGAGCTTGGGAGAAACTGGCTGTTAATGTTCATTTAGGTTTGTAGTCAAATGTTCAACTCACCTACTGCCAGCTAAACCCTAAAAGCCAAAAGAAATGTAGTACAGTTATTCCATCAAAATAAACTTTAGATAAACAACTGCAAATTATATTAATAATAAATCTTACCACTTGCCGAGGAATGTTTGTGTCATACTTGAGTGTAAAGTTCTGCTTGGACAGAGCAATGCTGTCAGTATAAAAGAGGCAAAAAAGACACAGAAGTCAGTGTCTTAATAGAAAATGGTGAATTTTAATTTCATGCCGACTTATGTTTACAATTAGATTGCAACATCTCACCCTTGTTCAGAGCAGAACTGATAAAACTTTTTACAGGTGGCTTGTAGAAGTCTCAGACCTCCCAAATAGCTGGAAGATAATTAAATGAATAATATTAATTACAATAATTGGTTTTTCAAACATTCTGAAAACCATCTCCTTTTCTGTTCTACTAAAGCAAGTCAGATGGTTTAGCGAAGCAAAGCAATAAAAATCAGAGACAAATACTTCATGATTGGACAAACCCTTCTTTCCGGCTGATCCGAAAAAGATCCTGCAAGCTTCCGAACTCCGTGGGGTCATTCAGAGGATGAGGTAGAAGAACCTTGAAAAATGAAAGAGATGAGTGAAGAACAGTGATTTCCTCGTGTCCTTGATGTCTTATCTCAATCTGTTCTTATTTACCAGAGTCTGGCTCTCCATAAGCGTGACCTCAGCCCAGAAGTTAGCGATGCTCATAGCAATAGTTTTCCCATTGAAACCATCAGAGGGGTTCCCCATGAGTCCAACCCTGTGAGTCAACACACAGACCTATGTATACAATGAAAAGTAGGCATTTGTGGATACTAGCCAATGTGTACTGCCTGACCTGGCAAATGAGCGGCATGTAATGGGTTTCGATGGGGACAGCTGCTGCTTTGAAGAATAGTGTGCGAGCCATTTTGTGTAATCAGACAGACCCTGTAATAACAGATGTTAAAATGCTCAACATGCATTAATACAACATTTATGTTTAGAATAATGTAGTACACACTAACATTCACACATTTGATTTTAAATTGATGCTTGCATTCAGCAAGGATGCATTAAATGAAAAGTGAGTTATTTATAATGTTACAAAAGTTTTGTATTTCAAATGAATGCTGTTCTTTTGAACTTTCTATTCATCAAAGAATCCTGACAAAAAAAATGCATCACATTTTCAATAAATTTATTAAGCAGCACAACTGCTTTCAACACTGATGATAATACATGTTTCTTGAGCACCAAATCAGCATATTAGAATGATTTCAGAAGGATCGATCATGTGATACTGAAGACTGGAGTCAAATGAAGACTTTTGATCAAATAAATGCAGCCTTGGTGAGCATAAGAGACTTCTTTCAAAAACATATTAAAAGATCTTACAGACTCCCAAACTTACATGTCACAAATATATCGTATAAAGTCATATAAATATAAAGCATTAACCCGAAATAATGCTACATTTGTACCCACCACTTGTCCAATTAGTTGAAATCCTGTTGGTAACTTCATCCCATAAACAGGAACTTTCTCCTCATTTATAAGCCATTCCTACAACCATTAAACATTTCAAGTCACACAAAATAAAGTCTTGATGCTTTACTTTTTTAAATTCAAAGATAAGTTAAACACTGACCCAAAACATGCCAAAAGTTCTATCATTAACATCAGGGTGTTGAATGAGGAATTCAGAAATGTTCAGTAAGGACTCTTTGCGTAGGCAGTAGAAAACCACACTGGCCAGACGAGAAGCAGTGACTCCCTCCTGAGGCTTCTCAAAGAATCGCATGACCCTGTTGTCAGCAGAGGTTCAGAGGATTGTGGTGAATGCTTAAACCAGGTGTCCATTACTTCTCCTGGAGGGCCACTGTCCTGCAGAATTGAGCTCCAAACCCAATTAAACACACCTGAACCAAAGTAACCAAGGTCTTCAGAATTACTAGAATTTTCCAAGCAGGTAAGATGGAGCTAAACTCTGCAGGATCTTGGCCCTCCAGGACCAGAATAGGACACACCTGGCTTAAACTTTGAAAAGAAAGTTCTATTTACTTGTCACTTTGAATTTTAAATGACAACAATTTACATATGCTGTCTATTTTCAGTATCTGTCTACATGCAATTTATAATGCCAAAAACATATTTCCATTCTATGACAAACTGAACTGACTAAACTAAGTTATTTAGAGTGCAAAAAAACTGCCATGGCACCCAAAATTATAAAAAAAGTTTATTGCTTGGTTATTGTGATTTATGATAATGTAAAGATTTCCATATTTCCATTTTATGACAAAATGAATGGACAACAAAGCAATAAACCCTGCTATTCAGAGTGCATGAAAATAGCCAAGTGCAAAAATTATAAATAATCTGCTAAGCTTTATTATTTTTATAATATCATATCAGAGGGTACTTCTTCCATGAAAACCACAACAATGCGTCATCATGTCTCACCGATGGGTGTTTGGACAAACTTCAACAATTCCTCTGGTGTAGCTCTTCTCTCCTGACTCCAGCTCATAATATATAGCAAGTTCTCCAGGCTGAAGTATTAAATAGGTAATGAGAATTACAATTGAGTAGGAATTACATCAATTATTTCAACAAGGTAAATGAGTGGAAACATAGATAAAATAGTGATGAGTGAGAGTAGATACAGTTGTGCGTGTGCAGTACGAGCATAAATGCGGTAATTACTGGGTAAGCGGGAAAGTACAAATCAGTATGAACCTGGTTGGGTCACGGTGTATGACATCTCACTTGTAACAACACAATCAATAGGATGAGTCTCTCTTACCTTAGATCTGAAAAAGCGAATGACTTGTGCAATATCAAAGTTCTGATCAGCACAAAGCATGTCTCCTGCGATCTGTAAATGCAACATGTGAATTCACATCTAAAAACAGCCATTCCAATTTAAGATTTAAAGGAATAATAAACCCAAAAATAAAAATTTCCTTAAAATGTACTCACCCACAGGCCATCCAAGATGTCGATGAGTTTGTTTCTTCATCAGAACAGATTTGGAGAAATTGTGCATTACATCACTTGCTCAACAATGGATCCTCTTAAGTGAATGGGTGCCGTCAGAATGAGAGTCCAAACAGCTGATAAAAACACCACAATGATCACAATAACCCATGAGTAATCCACACGGCTCCAGCTGCTTGTTTGTAATAAACAAATCCATCATCACAATGTTCAACCCACATCTCAAATCACTGCTTCCAGCTAAAATATGGGTTTTAATAGAGGCTCTAATCTATAAAATTGATTTCTCCAGTTAGATCAAGCACCGTTCACAAGCGAAAACAGTTCAAAACAGCTCTAAACAAAACACGTTAGTGGATTTTGATATGAGAGGACAAGAGAGGATGGACTTTTTCACACATTACTATGGATTATAGACTCGTATGGCCAGAAGTAACTAAAATGTATTAATGATGGATTTGTATCTTAAAAACACACATCTTTTCACTTTATTAGGCGTTAATTGATAGACTGGAATTGTGTGGATTACTTATCGTGATGCTTTTATCAGCTTTTTGGACTCGCATTCTTACAGCATCCATTCACTGCAGAGGATCAATTGGTGAGCAAGTGATTAAATGTTAAGTTTCTCCAAATCCGTTCCAATAAAGAAACAAGATCATGGATGGCCTAAGGGTGAGTACATTTTCATCAAACGAGCTCGTATTTGTTTCTATCCACCTTTTTCTTGTCGTAAAAATGGGCGCGGCCATTTGTAAATTATATGGGTCTGGTCCACTCCGTCCAGCTATTTTTAGCTGAGCAAAACAGTTCGTTTTGCTGCTTGCTATTGAAAGTTGGTGTGTCTTATCATATTATTTTAATGTATTATCTGAAATTATGAACACACTGGTTTGTAGTGCAAACAGTTTTACCGTTTACTGCACGTTGTTATTCTCCTCGTTATTTACCTATAGCGGCTAATGAACCGGAAGTCTCACCCATAGGCTTACTTCCGCGTTGAAGAAAAAGGTGGATACGAGTGTTATTTTTTTTGAATTACTAGAAAGTAATCTAATAGTGACTACTATATCATTAGTTAGATAGTATTTAATAGAAAAAAAATTTTTCAAAATAGTAATAGTTCATATTTCACCCATTATGATTACTTTTAATGACTAGTCAGATGGCTGCTTTCTATGAATCAACTGAAATACACACTGGTATCTAATACATTGTGTCTGCTGAATTAGTACTAGGATACCTGCAAGCGATAATAGTAATGAATAAAATCGGAATATGTACCTGAAACAACTGGAAAAGTTCAAGTAAACGGCATATTAATTAGAAGTGAATATTGGAACTGTGAACCACAGATCCCCGTAGATTTCAATGGTAAAATTTGTAAGCAGTTACAATGGAATAGTCAATGGTCATTATTGGGATAGTAACTAGTAGCAAAGGAATAAGTACTAGTACATGATGAATACGTACAAATACAATAGCCGCCATTGGAATAAATACTAATGTCATAAATACATTCTGGTATCTGATAAATAGTTACTAGTAAAACTGACAAAAACACTACTCTCTATTGTAGTAATGTTAAAATGGCTTGCCCAAATGTTCATGCTGATAGAGGAAGGTCTAATATTAAAGGCAGGTCCTGGCAGGCTGCAGTTCTGCATGAACCTTGATTTTTGTCAATCTTGAACCTTCCAAATATTTGGTATTAAACAAAAATAGACAAGAATATCCCCAGGAATGGGAGATAGCTTGTCTATTTCTGTTAAATACTAAATATTTGGCAACTGAAAAAGCGGAGATGTTACAACAAAACATTCTTAGACCACAATTTAGAAGAATAGCGTAGTGGGGAAATGTGCTATTTATTTCAGTACTCTGCATAGTGAAATCTGCTACGACCATTTTGTGAATAGTCAATTAACAGGCAGTTATTTGACATGCTCATTATTCAGACAAATTAAGTTGAAAAACCTGAACCTGAAAAGTATGAAATATATGAAAATGCATTCATAACACAAAGATTTAACATTAATAATTTCCACAAAGTTTAGAAGTAACAGTACAAAATAAACACATTTCTCTGACCTGTCCTGGTACATAAAAAATTAATGCTAAATTACAAGAAAGTATGGGGGACACAAAAAATAAAAGTAAAATATGTACATAAGGCAAGATCCCAATGGAGAATCATCACCGGTGTGCTGAATACTGCATTATGCAAGTCCTGCATTGATCAAGGTTGCTTAAAAACATCAGAAAATACATAAAAAATTAATGCTAAATTACAAGAAAGTATGGGGGACACAAAAAATAAAAGTAAAATATGTACATAAGGCAAGATCCCAATGGAGAATCATCACCGGTGTGCTGAATACTGCATTATGTAAGTCTGCATTGATCAAGGTTGTTTAAAAACATCAGAAAACTGAATCTCCTGCACTGAATGTTTTTCGATCTAAATTTCCAAAACTCCAAAATCCTTTGAACTCTTCATTGGGGATCTGCACTCGCTGCTGCAACTATGCCATGCTGCCGGAGCTGGCTCCTCAAAATCTGATTCTTAGATTTCCAATCTTCCACCTTTAAAAAAAACATGACAAAACAACAAATCAATCAATGAGATCAATACAATAGAGAGAAATAAAGAAATGAAGAAAGTGATAAAGACAGACAGGAAAACAGAGATGTATATAGCCTAAAATTAAGAACTTTTCCAGGTGGTATTGGTTTTTCCATATTCATTTTGAGATTTAAATGTGAGTTTAAATTAATTCAAGTAAAACCAGGGTCAAAACAATGACTAAAGTGCAAGTGAATTATTATATAAGCCTAAATGATTCAATTAAATTAATCTAGTTAATAGTTATCCCTTATTGGTGCAACCTGTAAAATACCTCTTGCCGTAACAGCTGGTTATTCATCTTCAACCTGTCAAGGCTGTTCAGTTCATCTCCTAACCGGCTGTTACTTTGTCGCAGCTCTTGAATGTAATCGCAGGCCTTTGATAGAATCCCACCCTTACTCTGTAACACACACAACAGCAAAATCAGATATAATCCAGAACTTCCTGCACAATTTTATTCACAAAACTGACACATACCTGTCCAGTTTTAGTGGAATCGATGGTGCAGTCTGGAATTGTTTTGGAAAGCTGAACAATCCAGTTGTTAATTTTGTCTCTACGTCTTCGCTCAACTGTCAAGTGGGTTGGAAATAATCACTTGCAAATAACTTACACAGCTAGCTGTATGTAATTTTCAATCCTTTTCAGTTACCTTCATTGTGCTGAGCTCGCCTTTTCTCATCTCTAGAAGTCCTTGGCCCCTCTGTCTTACTGCAAATATTTAAAAAGTATGTTACAATAAATATTTTTGTTCCTTGGGTTCATTTTGCTCCTACGCTAATCCATTAATTCAGATGTTCAGTCAACAGCTCATTTAAATACACTACAGGTCAAAAGTTGGGAATACTAAGATTTTTTTTTTTTATTCAGTTTTGAAAGAAGCCTCTTGTGCTCACAAAGCTGCATTTATTTGATTAAAACTACAGTAAAAAAATATTTTTTAAATATTATTACAATTTAAAATAACTTTCAGCAACCACTACTCCAGTCTTCATTGTCACATGATTCTTCAGAAATCATTTTCTTTTATCTATCTCACCCCAAACTTTTGAATGGTAGTGTTATCACGGTTTCCACAAAAATATTAAGCACCACAACTGTTTTGAGCAGCAAATCAGCATATTAGAATGATTTCTGAAGCATCATTTGACACTGAAGACTGCAGTAATGGCTGCTGAAAGTTCCGCTTTGCCATCACAGGAATAAATTACATTTTAAAATATATTATACTAGAAAAGTTATTTTAAATTGTAATAATATTTCACAATATTACTGTTTTAACTGTACTTGTAATCAAATAAATGCAGCCTTATAAGAATATCATAGAATTTGTTCAAAATCATAAAAAAAATATTATTTATTTTAAAATTTTCGACTGTGAGTTTATATTACAGTTTAATATCAAATAGACTTATGGCATACCTATACTGACATCAAAATAATAAATTGAGTTCATTATTTTTAATCCATTTATATTCTTTACATTATTCTTTTACATTATACTGTATGCGGTCACACACAAAAAGAGAATGCAAATAAAGATAGCAAAACAGCAATAACTGAAAAGAGAAATGTATTAAACGAGGCTGGAAAAGCAACATTACGCATTGTAAGGTTGTGTACGAGGTGCAATAGACCTCTGGTTGGCTCCAGTAAGGACCTCCTGCGGGGACATCATAACATACAACTGACCTAAAGCAGGAGCAAAAAGCAAATTAACAAAAAGAAACCAGGCTGTTTTGCAACAGAAGTGTTGCACTGTAAAGTATTCATGTGCATAATAGCAATTGAAATGCATCATTTATGCTAAAAATGGTTTGATGATGTACCTGCAGGAGCACTTTGACTAAGCAGAGCATCTGAGGCCTGAACACCGGTCACCATGGTGCCAGCCGCTGCGTCTGAGATAGTAGCAGGGTAATATGTGTAATGGGTTTCTGTGCCATCACCCTCCAAGCCTTCAGACTGAGAAAAAACAGCCTGAAAAACAGATTTAAATCATATTGAAATGAGATGTAAAAAGGTTAAATTCTATTCATCCATGTCAGGTAAAATAATAAGCAATTTTCCACCTGTGTAACAGGCTGTGTTGTAGCAGGAAACCCTGTCACTACACTAACAGCTGTTGCACCATCAGTTTGAGCTTCCAGCTGTCCATCTGCGACTTGGATTACTCGATATGTAACCTGAGGAAAATTAAAAGGATAAGTTATGTTATGAAATATAATCTTACTTGTCTGTAGAAGCTACCTACAGTGAAGAAAGAGAGATCACTGCTAGATCTTTCTGAAACATCATCAGAAAGTACACTCAATGGGAACAATTT